TATCTCATGAACTGTTTTTTAAAGACATAGTATTCTAAAACCATGCATAAAATGCTTATGTTTTACGAAAAATAGAGCTGTGAAAAAACATTTCCTCCAAAAAAGTAGGGAAAAATGGGGTAAAATGGTCCAAAACACATACCTACAAGGCTCTCCGGTCTATGGGACCACGTGCAATCGATTCCCCGGACGATTTCCCTTCTGAAAAGTTGTTTTTCATGGCCGGAATTCAGCGTGCTGTTGAGCTATTGAATTTTGGGTAATTTTGGACCTATTTTTGCCCATAGTGCGTTGGGGGGGTTGATCCATTTAACCCTATATCGATAATTCCGATTTTGAGAATTCAACAATGTCCTAAAAATAAACAAAACAACCAATATGAAGCCCTCTTGTAGAAAGTTAGAATCCTCATAGCAACCAATAGTTTGTCAATTGCATTCGTCGCTAAAATTTATCTCTACATTTACGATAAAAAATGATCAATTTGCCTCCGGGTTACCATACCTGTCAACAAGTTTGGCAACTCTTTCTGGGTCTAAGATGAAAATAAACCCGATTATTTTTTCGTCACGGTCGTTCCTCCTCCTACTAGTTTCAAATGATGCTTAAATTAAATGCAGCTGGTTTCAAAAGATCTGCAGCAACTCAAAGAAAAACAAAGTACCCGCACAAAGTTTCTAAGTTCAACAAAGAACAAGTAATTAAAAAAAATGTAAATGCACACAGAAAAAAAAAATCTAAACTTTAATCATCGCTTAAAATTTACCCTCGTTTAATTTGAGCTATAGCGGGCATAATCATTAAATAAATAACTCAAAAACTTATAATCGCTTTTTGAGATTAATTGGAAATGCATGTTCAAAATTTACTACGACCGCATCAAACGAATGATAAAACAAATTATTTCTAAATTTTTTTATTTATTTATTTGAAAACCTTAGTAACCGATACGAAATCTTTCTCATTCCATTCGGTTTCTAACGATCGTTTGGAGAGAACTGGACTGGGTAGTTTTAACACAGACAAAGAGGTGTTACTCATTAAATACATTTTAATTAAAAATATTGTCACGGAACACACTACCGACATCTCGCGAGCTATTCGCGGAAAAAAGCTCGATAGAATGTATAGAAACGTCAAAGTGATCCGTTGCCAGCGCTGTGGTGAGGATTCGTGAAGCTAATAATATTTAAATTGAACGTTAAATGCGTGTAACGACAATTGAGGAGAAAGAGCTACGTCTGTTTGTCTGTGGTTTTAAGAAGAAGCTCCATAGGACTATTGTTTATCATTTCGTAAATTAATAAGTAAAAATACCAAGATCTTTAGGAATGTAAGTATCCAAAATTTCAGTCAATTGTTTGCTGCAGCGAATCAGACAAGGTCTGTAGTTTTCAAATATTGTCTGGATCAGCGTTAATCTATATATGGGTCTCCTTCAGGTGGGTGGCAGAAATTCAGACCACCGAATAAATAGAATCATTGACATTTTCTTAAACTAATTGCAACATATTAACAGAATTTTATATGCTTGAAAATTATGGCATTTCAACATATTAAAAACATTTATATGTCATTTGTGTTTTGGCGTTTTCAGGGCTTTTCTATCGTTTAATTTCAGGACTATTTTGACGTTTCCTGGCAATTTTTTTTTTGTTTTCCTCTGTTTGGGACATAACACCACTGCGACCAGTAATTTGACCGATTGTAGTATATCCCGTGTCCTTAGTTTAGTGCATGTCGTATCACTATTGAGAAATGATGAAGTATTCGATTTTTTTACAGTTGTCATTCTTGCATTTACCGCAAGGATCCGACTCTAATTGAAAGGTCCCGCTAATTATACCCTTCGGAGTGTTGAAACACCCTCCAAAGGCGCGCCCCTCTGTCCGTCAAAATTGGATTCCTTAGCAACAAAATTAAGGAATGACACCGATAATGACCATGCATCAGAACCCAACACACTTAGAAATAACTAATTTTACACGTGACGGAATCCATGTTTGACATAAAGGATCAGACGTAAACAAATATTTCATGTAAAATTAAGTGCTCCGAGACTGAAAAGTAAGTTACTCGACGAAAAGTACGTTTGATTGAGTTGAATTTCGTGTCTATTATGACTCTATTCAAAATTGAGCACCTAAATTTAAATGATTTTTTCGAAGTGCGCAGTCTTAACCACTTCAAACTAGAGAACAACGAATAGAAGATTAAACATCACATAAATGAAGACTAACCAACTCATTTTTCCTTGTTTCAAGATCATCCAAGATGTGTTCCTTTGATTACTGAAAAATCCTGTTCCCCTAGTTTGAAGAAGTCAGGACTAGGAATCGGTGGTAGATCTTACATCCCGTAACGTACCACGAAAAGGTGATTTACCCACGTTACGGGGCCAGGCTATTTCAAGGCGATTTTAAAGCAAGGTTAAATGTACCAGGTCTTTTTGATTTGTTTAAGCCATTTATTGGACCGTTTTGACGTTTAATATTATGTATTATGTGAGGTGTCGATTCGTTTATAAGATTACTTGAAAGTTGACAGCATTTGTGAGGACATTTAGGGTATTTTTACATTTCAAAGATTATTTTATGGGATCTGAGGACTTTTTAAAAAGCTATTTCAGTGATTTAGGTAATTTTTTGCTGGATTAGTTTTTATGGTGTTTACATTATGAAGTTTATTTTCCACCAATTTATTTATTTATATGACTGAACATCAACAGGCGTTATTTGCCCCAATGATGTAACTTAAACTAAACATGAAAAGTACTAAAACAAAACATCAATAAGTACATAGTTTGTCCTCTCGTAAAAAAGGAACATTACTAAACAAACTAAACTGATCTAGAAAAAACGAACTAAACCTCCGGCGAAGCAGCTGGCGAGTCAGGTCAAAATCAAACAGTGCGGAGACCCTATTGAAGAGTCTCTGTAAACCACCGATTGCACCGAACATGCTATAATTAGTTCGCTGTATGGGCAGGCGTAGCATTGAATTATTCCGTAGGGCTCGGGGTTGAATATTGATGTCAATTTGCTCAAGGAGGACAGGTCAATCGGTGCGTCCTTGCAAAATATCCGCAATTAGGAATGCCATTGCTGTATCTCTTCGGACCGACAGGCGCAGAAGGGATCCGTCCACGGCAGTTTACGTAGCGCATATCTCAGGACCCGTCGCTGAACAGACTCAACTCCTTCGACACCGTTGTTGTAGTGAGGAGTCCAGACAACCGAGCAGTATTCTAATATGGAGCGAGATAAGGAGCAGTACAACGATTTAAGGCAGTAGATATCCGTGAAGTCTTTGGCAATCCTGAAGATAAACCCTAGAATTCTGGAAGATTTGTCGACGGCGTGCGAGATGTGCTGCTTGAAAGAGAGTTTTGTATCCAGAATCACGCCTTGGTCCTTAATTTGGCTGACGCGCTCAATTTCAGTGCCTAACAAAACATACTTGAACATAATAGTCTCTTTCTTGCGCGAAAAAGAGATAACCGAGCATTTGGACGGGTTAACCTCCATACGATTCAGAATACACCAATCAACAAAAGCATTCAGCTGACGTTGAAGGAAGCAACAGTCTTCAATTGAGTAAATTCGGAGGTAGAGTTTAAGGTCATCTGCGTAAGATAATCGTGGTAATACATGACCTTGATTATGCGTGGAGTGCGTTCTTTTGTACGTACGAGCTAGAAGAGCGTTATCAGTGATTGCGGTGGTTCAAGGAAAATTAAATAAAGCATTTCTGAAATCATGACGCTGCAAAGTCTCTAGGCCAATCGGGTGAGATCTTTCCATTTTATCTATTTATATTTTGTTTTTTGTCACTGATTTATCAAATGCTCTATATTGACGAATAGAGTTGCCAAATCATTCACCCTCCCACTAACACAACTCTTTCCTTCCTGTGACACCTATGAAGGTAGTATGGGTTCCCTGCACCTTCTTAAGTAGATGTTGGATTAACTTTCCCTCCCTTCCCCTGCGATTGTAAGGATGTGGCCAGGTGTATAATGCGATGCTTGTATTGTAGATTTTATTTTCGTGTGGGGAAAGTGATATTTTCTGCGTCAACACTCGATATTTTCTGCAAAACGTATTAGTTGACCATTATATAGCCACCCACGATTTGTACAATCGCATATGCTATGCTATGCTATGCTATCTGCGTAAGATAATCGTGGTCCCTCAATTACCAGATTCACGTCGTTGAAATAAATCAGGAAAATCAGCGGTCCCAGGTGACTACCCTGGGGTATGCCGGATGTGGCAGCGAACGTACGGGACTGGTGATCACCAATGACAACAGTAAGATAGCGATCGGTGAGGTACGACTGAAACCATTGCAAAAGGCAGCTGTGGATACCAAGCCTGTTCAGTTTAGCGATTGATATGCGGTGATTCAATTTATCGAAGGCAGCAGATAAGTCAGTATAAATGACATCCGTCTGAGCACGATCCAACATACTGTTAGAGATGTAGGAATGTCGTTTTGGCCTTACCACATTTGTATTCAATATAGATACATCGTGGTCTTACGGAATTTCACGAAATGGGTCGCAATCTAAAAAAGATTCCGGCGGCTTTTAAAATCACGAAGTTAGGTGGCCAAACAGCTGAATTAAGGATTCTGCAACGTATGCCAAATGTCAAAGTCCTAGTTGTTTTTATTGGCAGTGTTCCTTGAATCTCACTAGGCATAGGATGTCAAGCAAGATGGTCGTTTTTATTTTTGTGGTGTAGCTGCTCCAATAATCGCTAGTCATTGACAGCTCAAAATCGTTTATTTTTGTAAACAAAGGTGCAACCGATATCTACACCCTGAATTATTTTGGTGTACGGTGATGTTAGCACCGGTGTCTACACCGCAAAAATGACATAAGCCACTCGAACAAGTTAAAATTCACAATTAACTTTTTACCGTACTGAGTGGACAATGAGGGTTTTACTAATGAAAATGTCTCTAGCACATAAAACACAAAAGATAATACTCACTGATGCGGCATCCTGAGAACTATCTTCATTTCCGTCCACTATAAGTTCTTCGCTGGTATCACTACGTGCATAATTGGTCGATAGGCCACCTAGCTGTATCCTGAAACCGAAATCGGATAGTTCTTTGCCATTGCTTATCGATCGGGCAATTTTGAATCGCTCGATTTCCAAGTCCGGCGGTGATACACTGCCCGGAGGATATTTGATGGCAAAGGGATGCTGTTGCTGGGGATGTGACTGTGGCGTTAAATGCGGATGGTGCGTTGATGGTGGAAGTTGACCGGTGGCAGTTAGCGCTGCGTGTTGCCCAAGGGTTTGTAGGCTAGACAGCACCGACGCAGTCGGGAGCATGGGTACTGGGTGTGCCGGCGAAAAGTGTTGCGGATGAGATTGTTGCAACCCGGTATCGTTAGGAATAGCGTATTTAACACTATGATCAATTGAGTATTTCCCGGAGGGTGCCTTATCTAATTCGGATGGACTAAGACGGGCATTAATATTGTGGTCGGCTAGTTGTTTTAGCCTTTCTATGGAAAACTTGGCACTGGGTTCTAATAAATCACGATCACTTTTAGCATAGATTATATGGTCACCGTTCACTGGACGCAGGGCAATGTTTTCCTTGGAAAATGAGGGGAATTTGCCTCTCAATTCTAGATTTGTTTTTCCATCGAGCATTTGGTTTTCCTGGAACCGGATCAACAGTCCATCAGACTTTGGCGAAGGCGGAGATCGAGCCACCGGGTGTTGATGATCCAGTTGACTTGAGACGGGTGTTTGCATAGCGACACATTTCAAAACGGTAGTAGATAGTTTTTCATGGCTCATTTGATTTTGCTCAGCCGGAGACGGAGGCGAATTAGGCTGAGAATGCGACGGGCTTTCCGCCTGTCCGGAATCAGATTTTGGAGATTGCATCATAACCATAGTATCCAATTTGATCAATTTCCTCTAGCGGTTGCAATTGTTCACTAGCACTATACTATATTCCGTCGTTTAACTTAATTCTAACACTTGATATGTGGAGGATTCCAAATTCACTACACTCTTTAGATCATTCGATCCATACTGCAAGAAAAATATTTATCCTCATTTTCCCGAAACTTCACTTCATGCTTTCCAAATATTTCCGATTGGTAAGATCATTCGATACGCACGTTTGTTTCATTCGTCCCTGTCAAAAACGAGAGAACTCCGAAAGCTGTACACCCAAGCGATAACCGAATGTCGACTGACTGTTTGTACTTCTTTCACGTCTCATTCCCCCTCGGAAAATCGTGAAAAATTCTGTTTCCTAACATGCAGTTCCAATTTATTCGTGAATGTGTATTGGTAATACACCACTACAGCAGTGCACGTGTTTCATTTTTAATTCCTAATTGGATCTCTGAAGCTCTCTTCTCTGTGTTAAATACAACACAGTAAGCCACGCCCATACTTCTCCTCGTTGGCAGTACAATCTGGCACTAACACATAGCAACGGATTGCTGCTCGAGGAGTAGAGCTATTAAGAACCACTTCAAACTCACTTGTGTCAACATACTAAATTGCGACGTTGGCTTGCTGTGATGATATACTTTCATTTTCCTACTCGTCTTTACCCTTACTCTATAGCAGAAAATGTCTACATCAAATTAAGTACGATAAGTAATTAAAATATATACGCTTCTCTTAAGAGATTATTTTCCCCACGCCTCCAAGCCACTTCTTCGTCGCCATTGACAGCTCGGAGGAATTGAAGAGCAATTTGCTCTATTTACTTGCTACTCGATTTAAAAGCTTTCTCCAACCATCCCCATTCCATTCCACGCTGGTAGCAAATACCCGTTCCGTATTTTCGGTCTCGGTTTGTTTTTGGCACGACAATTTTCCTCGTATAATCATCATCGCTATAAGTGATGAGGATGGTGGTATCGTAGCTTGGTTTTATTAGTCGTTCTGAGGAGCCAATGAAGAAAACAAAACGATTCGTTAAAGTGAATGATTCTGTCACTGTTGCTGTACTTACTTTTTCTTATACCTATATATATTTGACTTCACGCGTTCTAGATTGCGAAGAAAGAGATATTGTTCTTTGTTTGCCATTAGCATAGAAAATAAAGACGAAGCTGTTCTTAATTAGCTTGGCAATGAAAAAGTGCCACTCACTGTAATTGCTACAACGTGATATTTAAGCGATGAGATAATTTTTTATGGAAATGAAAAATGGTTTGACTTCTCTTTTGTCCTATTATCTTTATTGGCACTGTTTGCGCTGTGTGAATTATAATGGATCGTTGTTTTATTCAACGTGATAATTTTACGATCTGGATAAATATGCATTCGTTAGCTAGTAATGTAGTATACATGAGCAAAATGAAAATTTAGAATTTATATTACCTTATAGTGTTAAAGCAGGTTCTGTTACAGACATCAGGGGCTATTAATGTGGCACATTTTGAAACATTTATGGATAAAATGGATGGAATATCGAAGCAACCTGCTAATTTTGCCATTGAATCAGAATATGCTTCTGTAACAAAACGTCAAATCCCATAGGTACCAGGACGTCGAAATCGAACACATGGCTGTGTTCCATTTGGTGAATTTTCACATAAATTTAACGCTTCGAAAATAAATTAAAATGTTTGTAACCAGTGCTTCCAAATTATTACTTGTAGGCTCCTCCATAAACTTATTATCGGTTAAAACGAATACGCCTTTCATATTAAACTAGCATAATTACTTAATTATTGATAACCAGCCATGGCAAATCATTTACATTCATTTCGTACATTCATTTACATTCCTTTACCTCTATCAACAGAGTTCCGTGAAATGATGTATAAAACTTTATTTGGTTTTTATATTAACTACAACTTTTGTAAATCTGGATCCAGATTTGATGTGTGATTAACCAGAGCGAACAGAATCCACCATTGTTTTTCTGTAAATGTATATTACATTCACTTAAAAGTAATAACAAGTTCTGCCCGCTCTAGTTCGTCATGCTTAAGAGGTACAAATATGAGCTACTGATAAAGGTTTTTATTTTTTTTATTTTTCGTTGATTTGTTTTTCGTCGATCTTGTTTTCCGTGCTGAGCACCAATACTACCGACGCCAGGGAGGCAGCTCCCACACCTGGACCCTACCTATCGACCCATCAACTCATGAACCGGGGACCAACGGCTTTACTTCCCTTCCAAAAGAAGGCGTGATTAGAGATGTTATGCCTCAGAACATCCCGGTGGCGCCGACTGGGATTGAACCCAGGCCTACTGGGGTGAGAGGTATTCACGCTTAACACTACACCACCGGTGCCGCTCGTGATTAAAGTTTTAGCTAATATCAAAATCTACAAAAGCTTTATAAAACTTTTGTAACAACCCCTATCAGTTGAACCTACAGAAGAAAAAGGGAAGTATCCGATGAGTGGAACTCCGGTGGTGTTCCGTGGTCCGCAAATAGTCTGGGTGTTTCCGACGTCTCTTAAAGTGGCCTTTGAGATTTTTCTCACATGGCGAGACAGTGACTGCCCAAAAAGCCACATCCGCCATCATTAAAACTACCCGACCGTCATCGTAGATCCACCGTAACCAAAGCCACCGCGTGGTCAACGCTAGTGTTAGCGGGTCGAATGTATTCCCCGGCTATCATCCGTATCATCTTCGGCTACCCTCTTTCGGCCTTGTGGAAAAAATATCCGGCTACTGCCGTCCGCCACCACCACCTTCACCATCACACAACCGCTACAACTGTCGCCCATCACCGGCGTGGGCTCCGGTCCAAAATTAAAGTATGCAAGTACTCTAAATTGTGACGTCACGAATATACATATGTAATATGAAAAAGTAGCTTCAATGGTAGTCTGTTAACATATTTTCACTATTTTCGTAATTCCGTCTGAAACCGGGTTCACAAGGAAACCATCAGGCCTCGCACGAGTTAAAATTTCTTCTTCGGGAGTTTTGAGCATTCATTCAAAACTGTTTTCGAATATGTACCGTTCCGATTCAAATTTCGGACGATTCAAATTTCGGACACTTTCATTTTTAATTTCATATTACATCCAGTTAGAAACAAAGTAATAATGTTAGATGATCGTGGAGGGCACTAGTCAAAAAAAAATTAAAATTTACAAGACATGTGGATCATATTCGACCGAGATAATCAACTTTTAAAAGTGTCCGAAATTCGAGTTTAAGTGTCCGAAATTTGAATCGGCACGGTACCAGGCTACGTTGGTTGACGAAATAAATAAATAAATAAATAAATAAATTCAGTGCTAGTTCTGTTGCCAGGCTAACGACATCTGTGGTTGATTATTATTATCTGTGTTGCTCCAGCTAATTTGGAATTCGCATATTTGACGTAGAAATGGAAGATACAAGCAGAAGTAAATTACCTTGAGATCCCTTATCCTGAGTTAGCAGGTAACATGTTCAAAAATCCATCTGTTGTTGACAACAAAGAGAGAAAGAAACAATATAGACAAATCTCTTGCGACGATTGTCATGACACACTCTCTTTGTAACATAGTTTGTTTGCAACACAAACCTTGATGTTAAAGTCGTTATTGGAGATCTCAATGGTCAGGTTGGTTAGGAGGAGGAAATTAGACCGATCGTTGGAAGTTCAGCACACACCAGCTTACAAACGACAACGGCATCAGGCCGCAGCCAGAGTAGACGCGGCACGCGACGCGACGCGACCAATTTAAAAGAATTTTATTATTTATTATTATTTCTTGCGTGAGTCTCATCGCGTGTCACGTATACTCTGGCCACGGCCTCAGACTCAACGATTACATACATACATATACCCAGAGATCACCACTACAGACCGATTCACAAATCAATCACGTTTTGATTGATGAAAAACACTTCTCGAATATCTTTGACGTCTGAACTTATCGCGGTGTAAACATCGTTTCGGATGTCATGGTAAAAGAGCACCAAAAGCATGCTGTTGTCAACACCATAAGGTACCCACCATGGTGAAACAACTGGATACGTGCAAAACTTCGAAGCAGCGTTGCCGGATGAGGGAGGGCAAACCGAAGTCCCTGCTGCGGTAGTGTCAAAGCTGTCATTAATAGGTGTCCTTGGGTTCGTGGAGAGGAATCAATGAAACGGTTGGTTCCGCGAGGAGTATCAGCCGGTTATAGACGAAAAGAACGCAGCGCAGGGATGATGCGGCAGCAAGGGACCGGTCAAAATGCGGAACGATACAATCAAGTAAATTAATCTTTTCCGGGATAAGAAGCACAACCTGTAACAGCAAGAGTGCGAAGTAGGGTGGTTTTTCGGTATCATCGGTACTGACAGTATTTTTGATTTAATATAAAAATTTAAAAAATCTTTAACATTCAAGTGTGATGTGATGGAAGAAAATATCCAGGCAGAGCAGTTTTTCTTCTTTAGCTTTATACGTCTCTACTGGAAGTTTACGCTGAGACCTATCTAAACTTGTACCATTTTTGCATTAGTATAATTGTGTGCCAAGTACAATCATACTCTATGTCCAAGGAAGTCGAGCAATTTTTTAATTTTGTTTTTTTAGTTCGAGGAGGTGAATGAATTTACTAAAAACTCCAGGGCAGTCCAGAGTCTGGTTAAGTTCGCCCGGTACTAAGTGTACCTTGTGTAAAACGCAGTTAAGACCGGTATTTCTCTACACGGTACGTGATGTGATGCGTGCGTAGGATCATCTTTCGCGGGGTGTATGAAAATGGCGAATGGAGGAGATGAATGAACCATGAGCTGACGACACTCTATTGCAACGCAAAACATATAAATAAAATGATTGATAGGCTCAACGTACAGCACAGGTATGGGTCTGTTTTGGATGGCTCGTACCCAAAGTGTTTAATTCATCCAATAAACACACCTCTTCCTGAGATTTCATTTGATAGCGCATCGGCTTATTCATTTACTGACTTGAAATTGATATGCTTGACCTGTATGGGTCGACGGGTAGCAATCATTAATAGAACTAAAAGTGTGATAAAGCTTGCTCCAGGAAAGGCCCACGCATTATGCAAACATACGTTGAGACAAATCTGACAGTTAGACAATAGATTTGGCTGTCACTTTGCCACGGCACGATAAGATGTCCCAGTGATTTTCAGTAGCTTTCCCTCAAAAATTTCGCCCGGTATATGATCTCTGACAGATTCTATTTTATGACATATACTA